TATTTAAAATATACTACAAAACCACAGTAATAAAAATAGTATGATAATGATGCCGGGACATTTAAATAGTCCAGTGGAAAAGAAAAGAGACCTTGAATATAGACACATGTATATGTGGGAACTTGGTATGTAATAAAACAGTCAATGCAAAGCAGTGGTGAAGTGACAATTTAGTAGATTAAGTTATATCTAATAACCATAGAAAAAAGATAAAATTAGATCCTTGGATTACCACACATAAAAGTGGAAAGGAGGTGGATTAAAGATTTAAATGTAAACAAATTAAATTGTTAAATCAATAAAAGACAATATAGGATATCTTTGTGAACTAATAGTGTAGGAAAATACTTTAAAAACAAAACACAAATGATGTAAACTATGCAGCAAAACTTGGTGGTTTTTATTACATCAAAATAATGGGTTTCTTTTTAGAGGAGGACATCAGGGATAAGGTTAATAGACTGTAGGAGACAGAGTATCTAAAACTGACAAGGGACTAATATCTAAAACATATAAAAATAAAAACCTCTTGCTAATCAAAAAATAAAGCTTTAAGCCAGCAGAAAGTTAGTTAAAGGATGTGAATCAATGATTTACGGAAGAAGTTTCCTAAATGACTGACAAGTATATCAAGAGATGCTCAAACTTAGAAAATCTGAAAAATGCTTTATTAAATGTTTGAAATCAACATTTTATTAAAATCTTATAGTAGAAAATCTGAAAAATACTCATTAGTGTTCAAAAGTGCTCATTTAGACAACAATGAGATACCATTCATCTTCATTAGAAAAGTGAATGATACCAAATGTTGGCAAGCATGGGAGGCAGGTAGAATTCTGGTGGGACTATACACTGGTATAAGGGAAAGCTCTTTGGCTTTATGAATATTGGGCAGGGCCTCCTGATTCCCATCCTGGAAATGTGTCCTAGATAAGTTATTTCCCAGGACTATAAGGTGACAAGCATGAAGATGCTCATCATTGCCTTGTTTGTGGCAAAAGGAGGTTGGAGGCAACATGGCATCCATCACTAGAGTGAGAGTTCTGCCACATGTGAGCGTGTGTGCACAAGGGAGCCGTTTGCCGTAGTTAGAAACAAGAGAACTAGATGTCTACAGAACAACATAAGTAAATTCCTGGAAAAATACTGAAAAGGTAAGCAATATTGTAATTTATAGGACAATAAAATTTATACAAATTAAAAGTACATATTTTTCCTGGACACATACATTTTTAAAGACATAATTGTGGGTTGGGAAAGAGAATAG